ATAAATAGCAAATAAAGATGTCAATAAGTAAGTGGAACAAAGCATGTTGTGTGATACATTGCCACTGTGTGGGGTTTTTTTTAACTCTTCCCTTTATGTGCTAATACCCAGTTGAAGTGAATTCATTAGGTTTGCTAATGTAGGAAGAGGTTAGAAAAGAGGGGAGTTCCTCTTGTTAAATATTTACCTTACAGGTCTTAGGTTAGAGGGCAGTTATGGTTTGTGCCTGATTCAAGTTCCCAGGATTACTGATAGCTCAGTCATGGCACAAGAGAGCATGTTGCGACCCTTTCAACATTTGTGTAAATGTGGATACAGCTGTGTCTGTCCAATTTTAACAAAGCTCCATTGAGATGCATAACATGAATACTTCTGTAGTTTACCAGTAGTTGTTGTGGTTCCAGAGGGGTTGGAAATTCTTCCAAAAGGCCAGGGAAATCCAGCCATGAAAAATGCGATAACAGCACAATGTACATATTATCAAGCCATTCCACCTCTCAAGTTCAAAGACACCGTTAATAAGAGAATCTCTTTTTGTAGAAAAATGGACAGAGCTGTATTAAATTCTTACAGAAGCTGAGCTTACATTAAAGGATTTAAATCAGCATGAGTATTCACATGCTCTTTCTTAAGAGTCTGAGAGAAGATCACACAGCTTTCACATAAAGTTAAAGTGATAGCTATAATAGACACTTTAGCAAGCCAGTTCCAAGTTAAAGCAACACTGTACGCTCGAGTCACTTACTTTTGAGGTATATACAAAGTTGGATTGTGTCTGTCACTGTACAAATATGGACACTGGGAAGAAGGTATGGGGAATGTTCTTCACCTCTTCTTTAGTATTTCAGATAATCATGAAATGAAGGGAGCAGACCATTCTGTTGTCAGTGCTATCACAAGCACTTAAAATAAAACAAAGAGAAGAACAGCCCAGTTTCTGCTGCTTCTTGGTCTCTTCGGTGCACCCTGTAGTTTGGTGATGCGTGTTTTAATGAAGTCTGTAGTCCCAGGCAAATCTAGAAGGAGCATTTGGAAGTTGTTTAGAGCTTTTTCCAAGGGCTGATAGTAGACTGGACAGTCCCTTCACATACAGCTCAACCACACGGTACAATCTGAAGCTTATGCTGTGCTGAACACACACTGTAGAAAGCAGTATGTTTCCTTAGTTAGCATGTTGGCAAGTGGGACAATCACTTAAAAAGAACAATACTGAGTGAACAGATGCACCGCAGTGCAGAACATTTCAGCAGCTCTGAGGGATAAATGGCATGTCTGGTTCTGTCTGCAGATCTATCGAGAGTCATGTGTGGGTGTGAACTAAAGTTTAACTGCATACCTGTCCTGCCCTGCCAGGTAGTGCAAAACTTCTAGGTATTAAATTGTGAACAAATCCCTCATTGTTGTAGCTTTCTATAATTTACAGGTGAGACTTTTTCTTCTGGGGTCTTCTTGGGTGTCATTGGTCCACATTGGTGTGTTTCAGCAAACTACTTTATGCAGTTACAGTGTTGCCCTTCACTCAAGAGTACCAAGGGAAAGGAGGTAACAAGGTCACCAGCAAATGCACACCTGCCTGGCTGATGAACTGCAGCCAAAATCAAACAGTATCTCAAGGCACAGGCTCCTGGGATTGAGACATCTATAGCAGACAGGCTGAGTACGGCATGCCTGCAGATATTGCCAGTGGGAAGCAAGGGAGACTGCTCTGTTCAACAATTTCTTTCTTTCTTTTTTTTTGTTTTGCTGTCTTGTTGGCAAGTTGTCTGGAATGTGCTTTAAATAACTGAAACTCCAGCTGTTGCAATGAAAGTCTTTGAATTATGTGTCAAAAAGAAAGAGAAGAAGGTGGTATCTTGAATTCAGATCAAGTGCTGCAGTACAGAGAAATAACATAGGTGTATGTAAATGTAACACTTGCATTTAATACTCCTCTTTGTTTTCTGTTCATTTAGCCTTTCTTTGACGTTGTTTCCATACTAGAGTAGCAGCAACTGTTTTCTCTGTATTTCCAGCCTGACTACAGTCATGAATTTACATCTAATAACTGTGTTTTGTGCATATTATAAAACTATTTAAGGAAGCTAGAACTGTTGCAATATAGATGACAGAACTCCAACTTGTGTTTGTCAGGAAAATCTTCCTAACTGTAAAGATGCTCTGATGTGGTGGCAACTGCAGTCATTAGTGCATAGATTGATTTCTCAGTGTATTGATCTTTGCAGATGTGACACACTGTTCTTAGTGGTTGTAACAGAAATTGGCAACGTTGCCTGTAACTAGCACAGGCTGACGTGGTGTCTACTGCTGCTGACTATGTCAGAATCCAGTAGTGTCCTGCCATAATGTAGTTGTTTGTACAAAAGTCAGCCAAATCATCTTCTTTAACAGAGCTGGAGGAAAACCATATTATAACCTGATCTGCAGACATAGCTAACCAACATAGGTACATGAGGATTTAGTACGTCTTTAAACAACTCTGAATTCTCAAGAGTTAACCCTTAGCCAGGCTAACAAGGACAGTGCTGAATCAGAACAACTCATGCTAGTCATCTCCTCTGTAAACAACAGCATATTTTGGGATTTCCACAAAAGCAGGAAGGACCAGAGGCAGAGGCTGAAATTATTACTCCTGATGCAGAAAATGCAGAAATACTCAATGAACATCTATGCTTTGTATTTGGAAAGACACAAGATGACGTATTTATATCACATGAGAATGATGAAGTAGTTCTGAATCCATTAGTAACTAAGGAAGATGTTAAACAAGCTTTATGAGATAAACATCTTATAATCAGCAAGATTGCAAGGCTTGCACCCAGTAAGAAAGAAAGAGCGCTAATGCTATTCCGGTTATAAAAGTTGGCAAGTATGATTTCCCTAGTTACTTTAGACTGGATAGCCTGACATCAATCACAAACAAAATAGTAGTAGTCATGTGGGATTCCATTAACACTTAAATGGTAGGAGTATACTTAAGGCCAGACAACATGGGCTATGGAGACAACAGAATTGTCAAAATTTTTTTTCATTTTTTGATGGAACCTGTTCTGCAGAGAAGGACCTGGGAGTCCTGACGGACGACAAGTTCACCCTGAACCAGCAATGTGCCCTTGCGGCCAAGAAGGCCAATGGGATCCTGGGCTGCATTAGGAAGAGTGTTGCCAGCAGGTCAAGGGAAGTGATCCTTCCCCTCTACTCAGCCCTGGTGAGGCCACATCCGGAGCGCTGCGGCCAGTGCTGGGCTCCCCAGGACAAGAGAGACATAGAGCTACTGGAGCGAGTGCAGCAAAGGGCCACTAAGATGATGAAGGGACTGGAGCATCTCTCCTATGAGGAAAGGCTGAGGGAGCTGGGCCTCTTCAGCCGGGAGAAGAGAAGACTGAGGGGGGACCTGATCAACGTGTACAAGTATCGGAAGGGAGGGTGTAAAAAAGACAGGGCCAGACTCTTTTCAGTGGTGTCCAGCGACAGGACACGAGGCAACGGGCACAAACTGAAACACAGAAAGTTCCATCTGAACGTAAGGAAAAACTGCTTTCCTGTGAGGCTGACTGAGCACTGCCACAGGTTGCCCAGAGAGGTTGTGGAGTCTCCACCCTTGGAGATATTCAAAAGCCACCTGGACAGGGTCCTAGGCAATGTGTTCTAGGTGACCCTGACCCTGCTTGAGCAGGGGGGGTTGGACTAGATAATCTCCAGAGGTCCCTTCCAGCCTCAGCCATTCCGTGATTCTGTGAAAATATGTTTGATTGACAAAAGAAATGGTGCAAATATGACATACTAGACATTTAAAAGAAATTTGATGTAATATTTCATCCTTATTTAAAAAATGAATCCAATGTAATGTCTGCACCTCACAAGCTTAGGTTAAGCAACTGTCTGACAGATATCCAAAGTAACCATTGAGGGGATACTACCATTTAATGAATATGCCATTTTTCTAAGGCGATTCTACAAAGATCTGTGCCTGACACTGTTTAATGCTTCTGTAGCTTATCTACTCCTGAGAAGACTCTGTCCCCAGTGACTGAAGTAGGATGTGAGTGGGATAGTGAAAAAATCCCTTAGTAGCTGATTTTAACACTTTAGCACTAATCTTAGTAGAGTGTCAAATGCAATTTCTTGAAGATGAAAGTTCTCTCTGTGGAGCAAGCCAAGATATCCAGTTAAAAGACAATTAAGTTTTCTGAAGATTATTCATCATTATTATACAGAACAGTACAATAAGCTGTAGATACTGTCAGAGAGAGATCATCAGGGCATCTCCAGAGTCTGGCTTTTATTGTGGACTGAAAATTGGGTGGTAATTTCTGCAAGTGAAGATACAATAGGATTCTTTAATTATTCTTAAAGGGAGCGCTCCACTTTATCCATTACATTCTCCGTAAGTGTATATTTTCGAGGAGTCTCTGATTCAGCACATATTACATTGACATGAAAAAAATGAAATCAGTATTATAAAGTTATAAAACCAAAATTATAAATGAGTAGCAGATATAGTATTCTTATTGTTCTGTTAGTATCAGCCTATGTGCATATAACAATATTTCACAGTGATATAGGAGAACTGAGGATAATTTGAGCCTTGCTTTTAATCCAGTATTAAGCATCCTCGTTTCATTAATTTCCTGCAGAGAGCCTACAGGAGTAGATATAGTTAATTTCACTAAAGTGTTAGTATATTTACTAATAAAAAAAAGATTTATTGTAGTTTCCTTACAGAGATTTTTGACATTTTTTGTTTTGCAACACAAAATTTAGTGTGTATCCAGGTATAAGTGTATATTTTAATTCTGCATCATTTTTAGATAAAAACCCAGAAATAGACTATATAAACAGAGGAACAAAATCTAACCCCTCTTTTAGCCAAAGCTCTATTTTAGAATCTCAATTAACAGCAGCATCTGCAGTGCATAGGTTTTCAACTGACCATCTCTTCAATGTATTGTGTTTCAGGGACAGTTCTGTGATTATTGCAATGCTGCTGATCCCAGCAAAGCTCACCCGGTAACTAATGCGATTGATGGAACCGAGCGCTGGTGGCAAAGTCCTCCTCTGTCTATGGGCTTAAAGTACAACGAAGTCAATGTCACTTTAGATCTGGGACAGGTGAGTGCGTGAGCTACTATTTAATGTTTGATCATTTTCTGTATTTATATAAAAGCTTTACAATTGCAGGGGGAATGTTTGAACTGATGATTTTACCTTCCAATACCATGCTTTTTTGGTGTGGGTTGTGTTCTGTTTTTACTAATTTAACTTTACTAAAGTAATTAGCTTCCTCAGAAATTTTGATGAGGGGGGTTCTTGCCATAGGCATCACACTGATTCAATGACTGCGTGCTTTCTTGCCACAAACATTCCTTAACCTGAGGTTACAGAGGGGAATGGCCCATTGAAACTGGGGCTCTACCTACATTTTGTGTAATCCTTTTCCATGGGTACACAGAGATTTCATAGTCTCATACCATACACACGTTTTTAGACTGATATTTGGAGTCTGCTTTTGCCTCAGGGGTCTTTCTGGTTTCTACAGCAAGACCTCCAAGATAAGACAGTTCCTTAAAACAGAAAAATATTGATAGAGTAGCCTGAAAGAATGGGACAGCAAAAATACTGTGATATGAATTAGAAGTATGACTAGGAACACGAACACCCAGATTTCTCCTGCAGGCGATAGGTTAACAGTAGAGACTCTGTATCTGTAAATGAAGCTTTTAAGTCATAAGGCCAGATTCTCAGCTGCCATAGTTGGGCACTATTCCAGTGAAATTAGTTATGCCCTGCAAGTTCACACCAGCTGGAAATACATGGCTATAAATACATATTGGGCTGCAATATATATGTATTTTTGAACAACAGTAACTATTTACTGACGCTGATTATATAGGACAGGATTTTTTTTTTTTTAGTAAGCTTTCAAGTTAATTGACAGGAAAGGGAGAAAAGCTAAGGAAGAAGTTAGTTTTGTTGTGAGACTTGGCTGCTGTTTTGCTGGGGATCCAGGTGCAAATTGTTTTCTCCCTGAGTGCTGTGGTTACCTCTTCTGTTAAAAGTGGTTAATGCACCCATCCCTCGCATGACTGGAATGGTTCGCATTTGGAGGATATCTTCGTTCTGTGGTGTTTTTGAAGCCGTCCGGTGTACTAGCAGTGCAGAAACACAAGGCAACTTAAAATTGAGATGGGGAGTTTCAGTAGTTAAACTAAACTGCTGTGATTTTTGTATATATATTGATTGAATGACTGACGTGCCTGTTTGTCTTGATTTTTTTTTTCTCAATTGTACCATGAAAGAAAGGAGAGCTATTCATATGCTGATTAATCTTTGGGCCACAGCATCCACATTAGCCTAGCACACAATGATCAGATCTATCTCTGAGTTACATTGCTCTTTGTGGTGCAATATGCTGTTGATGGCTCTGTATCCTCTGATGCTTTGCACTCCGGTGAAGGGAGTTGTTCAGTCATTCCTTCCCAGTGAATTAGAGAGAAATGCGTCTGGCTCACTGAGCATAGAGAGCAAGGGCACTGAACAGACAGCAGGGTGCTATGAGTAGCATGGGAAGACAGTCACCTCCCAGGAAAGCAGGCCTTATCTTCTGAGCTGCTTGCAACCATCGTGGTTTCTGCATAGGATGAGATTGCAGGCTGACGTCTGTAATTTTCCTTGCAGTATAGTCCAGGATATTTGTGGCCCGCACTTAAATACCATCAGAATCTGTGTAGCACCCGTGAAGCTGTTGCATCCAAAATTACTGACTCCGCTGTGTATTTGTATGTTTCTTTGGAGACCTGCTGACAGACGCTTAATCTTTTCTATGTTGAATAAGCTTCAGAGAAATCTCCTCCTCTGGAGGGAAGATGTGAACTGAGTGCCCTCTTCTCATTGGATGCCTTGGAGACTAGCTGATATGTGCTGAAATTCTTCTAATGATTAAAGGTTTTCTGGGAAGGAGACCATGTGTTTTTCTTTAGTCTGGTACCACTTGGAAAGGTGACTTCAAGCTCACTTACATGGAAGCGAGGGAAATGCAAGACAAGAGGTCAGGATGACCGCAGGTTTTGTGGTCAGGAAGGGATAAATTTAGTTGCTGAATGGACAAGGGTTTAGTAGGATTCATGGGTTTTTTCATTGCACAGACTTGATCCCATCTGTGAGTTCAGTCAGTTAAATCTTAGCGTCAAGATCTGTTTGAACTTGAGATTTACTCTTAACATTTTGCTTTGTATTCTCACACCCCAAATTCATGTTGTTGTGCATGGAGAGTTCGAATAAAGTCCCTATGCACAGTGCTAATAATAAAGAAGAAAAGTAAATACTATGACAGAGTGAATCTACCCAAGCGAATAGGTAAACATTAAGACCAAATTCACTCTACCTTATTTCAGGGACCTGAAAATTAAGAGCTTAGACTAAAGTTTGTCATGCAGATTTTCTCAGTAGTTAGCAGAGGGAGACAGATATTTTCAGAGTTCAATTCACTCTTAACTGAAAAATAAATGTGCTTAAAGTTAAATATGTGCCTAAATATCTTGCAGATTCACAGGCTGTAGTACTGAAAAGCTGGAGAAGACACAGTTTTCCTCACTGAGTAGTTGTCCCATTCTCTATTTTAACACAGAACAGCTTTTTCTGCAAACAAAATATGCAACTTACTGACAAAGAACAAAGTACTTTTGCAGATGGAGAAGCAATGACTAAGTTATAAGTTGATCATCAAATATTCACAGTTAGAGGAAGCAGAACTTAGCGCAGTGTCAAAATCTTTTCTTTTGCTGCACCCCTGCCATCATATCTTTAAGACTAAGAGTGGGGTCCCAGTGGAGCCTTTTGTCGGTGTTTAGAAGACAGCATTTAATTAAATAGTTGCACCATGATGAAAGTTTGAGAGCTGATTAAAATGGAGCTAAAACAGAACACCCACCCACGTTTGTTTCTGGTTCACAAGGACTAGGGATGGTTTTGAAAGTCAAAACCCCTCCAGGATCCTAAATCTTTCTGCTAGAAAAGTGCTCATTTTGTTTTACTTTGTAATATGAGAAAAAGCAAAAACCTTAAAGCCAAAGCCCTGCTATATTTCGCTTTCTGACCTACTGTACTTTAGTTACATTTTCTAATCAATCACAGTCCTTTTGAATAATAATTATAATGTTGATCCCTGAGGCAATCTCTCCATCCTGATAACATACATACTTATACTGTGGCTATTCCTGACTTGTTTAAAATATCTGGATCACATAAGTTTCGCTTATTCCTTTAATTGGTCCAGATTTTCCCAACATAGTCATCAACATATTTTATACTTGTGAATCCAGAATGTCTGCCTGAAGTTCATTGACCTTCACATGACTCTCTGGATTGCCTAATTTTAGCAGGTGTGCCCTCATCTTTGGCTTTCTTAATGCTCAGCAGATATTACATTAATATTCCCCCAGGTATTTTGCTGAACTCAGAAGATGAAGGTTCAGGATAGCATGATAGTGCATGATGAAAATTAAATCTCTAATTGTTACACTTTGAAAAATGTAGTCCACAGTTGTTCATTGTTGCTTTTAGTATTGATGCTGTTTTTAGTGTTGTTTCTGTACTATGCTTTAGTGGCCGTAACGTAGTGCTCAAAGGCTGAGAGTCAAAGACTTTGTGTACTAATATATTACAGAATTTTTATGTGGTGGTGGTATGATGATATTTTTAATTAGCTACTATCATAAATTGAAGGCACACAGTGGAATTGATGTCCAAAATAGTTCTCTCTGCTCTTTGCTCTCTAAGAGAAATAAATAAATATACTCACAAATGGCATACACTCTTTTTTCATTTCCGTCTTGATGGGAGAAGGGATCTGAAACTGTTTTCTGTAGCAGTTTATTATCTAGATGTGAAACACGTTGAAAAAAAGCCACTGAATCCTGATTTCTAGTTTATTTGTCAGTGCTGGTGTCCAGGAATTTTTAGAAAGCTGGCTATGTTGTAAAAATCCTTCATGTCTCGTGCACGTGATCAGATACTGCTTTCATTACGTACAACTTAACAATAGTGTTGTTTTCCATATTGTTGTTTCCATTCATTTTAGATTTTTTTGTTGCTTCAGAAATGAACTCCCTTCTTTGTGCATGTACATGTAATATACATGGCTCATCCTCAAGTTTTCAGAACACATGGAATATCTAAGGAAAATGGCTTGTGATAGATCTTATCTTCCATGGAAAGAACTATGCTCACTTCATTCATGTCTAATTTTGATTGTTCTGCTCACAGTATTGCGAAGGAACATCTACCACTTCAAGAATTCTAATCCAAGCAAAAGATTTGCACAAAGCAAAATGGGCTTTTCCTGAGCGTCTTACAGAAAGTCCTTGCTTTGTGTCTTGCTAGCTGTAGCCTGCTCTACAGTGAGAATACAATATGTGATGAAAGTAATGCTTTCAACAGATGAAATCCTCAGGCAGCATTTGAGATGGGGTCCTTGCTTGCATACTGATTAGGAAAACATTTCAGATTTTACTTTTCCATTCTTAGACTTGCACCTTATATGAGCAGTACCACTGATCAGCAAAAACATGAAGAACAGTTGTGAAAACTCTCCAAATAGTTGTGCTGCAAAACAGTGATCATATATTTATTGTGCTTTTTTCAATATGCTGCTTCTCCATGTAGAAGCTGAGTATTTTGTGAGTATAAATGCATGAACGTTGAAAGAGGCAGAGAAGCATTTTTGTTCTTATTGAAACAAAAGCTGAAGTAGTGGAAAAAATCAGTGATTTTTCCAAGGTCAATACTTCTGATCTGCAGTATGGTTATATGCAGGAAATCTCAGCTATTAAGATAGCCTTTGCTTTTTATTGTGATCTTGGTGTTACCAAGTTTTGCAGCTAAATAGCTAAATTTACTGTTAATCGGGGTTCACACCACTGCTTGCGCGCACACACACACACACACACACACACACACGCACGCACGCACACAGTGGAAAGGAAGGAAGGAAGGAAAACTCCACTGTGAACTTAAGATCAGTGGTATGAGCTGTGGATGACATGAGGCATGTTAGCTGCTGATTAAAGCATGTAAATGTTTTGCAAAAAACCCTTATAGTTTGGCAAATATTC